TGCCATGGTTACCGACGCTGATGTCCCAGCTGTGCTTATAAGGTCTGCGGTGGTGAAGAGAACACGCTTGCTTTGGGGGGAGCAGCTCTCAAGAGTGGAGGAGTGAAAAGTCACGAACTCTTGCAGGCTGCGGGAGGGTGAGGAGGGAGCCTCAGGAAGGAGGAGGGCGGGGCGAGTCTGGACAAAGGCTCCACAGGGGGGTTTGTAACTTTCCTCTCAATCTGAAATTTTCTCCAAGCCAAGGGCGTGCAAGGGTTGCTGTTTGAATGCAGACTCTTCTAACTCAGTTCCAGCAGGGGGCACTGTTGTGCCCGACCCCCTGAGCAAGGCTTACCACCGCAGTGCTAAAGAACCGGCTGTGCAACCCTTCGGAGTACCCGCTCGCTCCCGCCCTGGCCGCTGCGAGGTGGAGAGAGCTCTCTCTAGATGCAGCTGGTTGGGGTGTGCTTCGAGGGGTGCAGGTGCTCCCGCAGGCCGGGCGAGAGGGGCTTCAAGGAGACCGACCACCTGCGGAGCTTGATCTGTCTGTACCCGATGCTGGGGGGCAGAGGGGCTGGGCATGTTCCAGGCCTGGAAAAGCCTGCAGGTGACATGATGACCTGGCCAGTGCTGCAGGGGCCACGACAGGGCACAGCCACCTGCCGGCTTCCCCGGGGGCCCAGCGAGGGGCCAGGTGTGGAGGAGGTCCTTGAGCAGCTATCCCAGGGGGCCAAAAGGAGGAGGCACCGCTTGGCAGGGAGCTGTGGCGTGGACCTCTCCCAGCAAAGGGGTGGCCAGAGAACCCCCAGTGAGCCTGCTGGACGCACCCGCGCTGCCAGGGCACAGCTACCCCCAAGGGTGCCAGGCAAGGGAGACGCTTGATGTCCGCCCCTTCTGCTCCCGCTCCCATGCCCACATGGGTCAGGGAGGAGCCAGGGCCTGCGGGAGTGGAAGGGGTCCAGCCAGAGCGCAGGGCACCCTGGGACTCCCCTTCCGTGCCGCGGGGATCCCAGCCTCCCTGCTGGGTCAGGGTCCAGGAAGCGCTTGGTGCAGTGCCCGGCACGCGGAGTGCTCCTGATTGTTCTCTGGTCCCAGGGGCGGGAGTCCAGGGACCAAGGCAGCCAGCCAGACAACAGGTTCCTGCTGTGTCTGATCAAGCTGTGGGATTCAGTCTCCATGAGCCAGAGGGGAAGTGTGGGTTCCGGCAGGAGGCTTGGAAGAGCTAGGCCTCAGGCCCCCCCACGAGCTGAGGTTTTGAGAAGGGAACCCACAACCTCAGACCACGTGCAGGCGAACGTGCCCCGGGCCACTGCGGTTCTTCAAGGACCAGGACAGGCTGGGGCGCCCCCTGCTGGTGAAGCTGAGTCGCTGCCTACAGCCGCGCCCTGTCAGGACGGGTAGGGCAGCCCGCTGCGCGCCCCCTGCTGGCTGAAAAGAGCAGCGCCCAGGTCTGCTGGAGCCCACTGGAGCCCGGCCAGGTCACCGTGATGACCGCGCCAATGTGCACGCCCACCCCCGGCCTTCTCTGTGTGCCCCAAGCAGGTCGGCACCGCCTTCGTTCCGGCAATTCTGAAGGCCCACGCTTGCGGCAGGCTGGGTGAAGGCTTGGCAATGAGGGAAGCAGGCGACACATTGAGAGTGACCCACTCGTTCTGTGGTAGACACGCGGGTCCAGCTGGCGTGAACGGTGCTGTTTGCCGCGTGCATCAGCACCAGCACACTTACCAGAAAGGGCATTAGGACTCAAATATCGCACGTGGCAAACAGTGAGGTGTGAAGAGGATACGCACCTAGCTTAACAGGTGCGGGAGCCAGGGCACCACGCGGCAGATTTGGGCCCGAGTGCTGCTCTCAGCCGTGACTCTGGCTGGCCGGCCAGGAGTGTTCCCTCTGATTGGCTCCTTGTCCCGCTCTCCTTGTGATATTTGGGAATGCTCAGACTCAACCCCACCAACCTGCCCTCCAAGGAGAAGCACTGCCCACCCCCAGGCAGGGACAGGCTTGGGTTTGATGGAAAGAACCAGAGTGGGGGAAGGCTAAGCCGAGCGCTCTGACTTTCTGAACTTGCAGAAACAGAGGGAGGGCTGATTCCAGAAAGCCCCAGCAGGGCTGAGTGACAGTGCCGACGATGGCAAGCTGACAGCAGCCCCGGGACACGCCCCCCGGCCGTGGGATGCTGTCACCGGGATGAGAAGGTTCAGACCAGGACTCAGGGCTGCGCCCAGGGAGGCACTGCAGGACGCGGTCTGCGCTACGGCAGCTCCCCCACCCCCCCAGGATGACTCTCGGGTCATCCTGGGTCACCGGGGCTGAGCAGAAGGAAATGGCAGCCCCTGAGCTCCGGAGCCCGGATCACCCGGGTGGCCTGCTCCCTGAGGTCCGGAGTCCGGGTCACCGGGGTGGCCTGGTCCCTGACTCTGGAGCCCGGATCACCCGGGTGCCTGGTCCCTGACTCTGGAGCCGGGATCACCTGGGTGGCCTGGTCCCTGACTCTGGAGCCCGGATCACCCGGGTGGCCTGGTCCCTGACTCTGGAGCCCGGATCACCCGGGTGGCCTGGTCCCTGACTCTGGAGCCCGGATCACCCGGGTGGCCTGGTCCCTGAGCTCTGGAGCCCGGGTCACCGGGGTGGCCTGGTCCCTGACTCTGGAGCACGGGTCACTGGGGTGGCCTGGTCCCTGAGCTCTGGAGCCTGGGTCACTGGGGTGGCCTGGTCCCTGAGCTCTGGAGCCCCGGTCACTGGGGTGGCCTGGTCCCTGACTCTGGAGCCCGGATCACCCAGGTGGCCTGGTCCCTGACTCTGGAGCCCGGATCACCCGGGTGGCCTGGTCCCTGAGCTCCGGAGCCCAGATCACCCGGGTGGCCTGGTCCCTGCAACCCCTCCAACTCCAGCGCGGGGAGCTGGTGCCCTTGGCTCCTCCCTGAGCTGTGGGGAAGGAACCTGAAGGGGAGCCTTGACCCACCAGGACTGGATTCAGGGAAGCCAGCGCGTCCTGGGCTTTGCTGAGACGGCGCATGCTCGCTCAGTCCTCACAACAGGTGCGCTGTGACCCCTGACTCGAAGGCGGGGAAATGGAGGAAGACACAAGACTAGGGCTGCGTCCTGGCCTGGGAGCCTGCACCCCGACACTCCAGCCCGGAGCAGCAGGCACCGGAAGCGCGGCCCGCCTCCCACCTCCCATCGCCTGCTCAGGCAGTCACAGGAATGCTGGGGTTTTCACCGTTCCCCGCCAGCATGTGCCAGGGTCGGGAGGGCTGGCAGGCCACGAGGACAGGCAGGGATCGCAGGGGTGCCACGCAGTCCCCAAGCCTTGGTCCCCTATCTGTCATATGGGGGTGCGGAGGGATGGACCTCAGGGGCTGTGAGAGTGACCTGAGCATGCCAGGACACACGGGCACGACCTGGGCCCGAGTACACGTTCCATGACCCGCCGCTGCCCCCTTCCTCCCGGCGCTGCGGTAGAAGGCCTGCAGCACAGTCCCGGCACGGAGCCCCCCGCCCCCACTAAAGCGGTCTTCCTTGGGCGCACGTGGTCCGCGCCCTGATGCCCCTGGCCTGCAGGGAGGAAGCACAAAGCGCTTCAATAGACACAGGTGCAGCATGAAGGAGGCCTCGGGGGGTCCCCATCCCTTTCCTAAGACAACCCCAGCGCTCTGTCCTGTCTGTCACCTCCTCCAAGCCGGCGCTGGACACTGGCAGAGCAGCACAGAGGGCTCTGTGCCGGGGGCGGGGCTCCCGGCACCCTCATCCCACATGGGAGCAGGTTCCAGTCCCGGCTGCTCCACTTCCAATGCAGCTCCCTGCTGATGCACCTGGAAAAGCCGTGGAAGATGGCCCAAGTCCCTGGGTCCCCGCACTCACGTGGAAGACCCGGATGAAGCTCCTGGCTTCGGGTCAGCCCAGCCCCAACCTTGTGGCCATTTGGGGAGTGATCCAGCGGATGGAAGACTTCTCTCTGGGTCTCTCTCCCTCTCTCTCTAACTCTGCCTCTCAGATAAATATTTAAAAAGCAGCCTCTCTGAACGGGTTGCTGTCCACCCGTGGCTCTGGTGCCAGGTCACTTCCCGCAAGCCCACAGACGACCCTGCGAGTCCCTCACGGAGGGGGGGGGCAGCTTGCGCTTGTTGCAAGGGTTCTAGTCCACGCCTGCCCCCACCCCGCCTCTGGCCGCGTGGCCGCGTGCAGGCCGTCCCGTGTACCCGCCCCTCCCCACTCCCCCGGGCCCCGTTCCCGCACCTTTTGAGCCCCAGGCTGGGGCAGTTCTCCCACGCCCCGCGGAGACGATGCGGGTCTGGGCCCACGCCTGGAACCCCTCCCTGAGTCCCGCTCTGCCGGAGTCTCCTCTTGGGGGCGGAGGGGCCCACGCTGCGCACACCCGGGGCGGGGCAGGGGGAGAGGAGGAAGGGCCCGAACACAGCGGGGCGGCGCTGCGGCGTTCCGGGAGCCAGACGAGCGAGCGCAGAGAACAAAGACGGGGTGGCTGGTCTGGGGAACTTCAGAGAACCCGACACCGCGCTGGGACCCGGCCGCCGAGCGCACAGCCCCGCGCGGACTCGGCAGCCGCCGCGCCCCCCGCCCCGCGCCTTCCTCGGACTACAGCTCCCGGCACGCCCCGCGCGCCGCACCTGCCCGCCCCGCGCGCGCGCGCGCCCCGGCGGGAGCTGCAGACGCCGCGGCGAGCGATGAGGATGGAGGCCGGCGAGGCGGCGCCGCCGGCGGGGGCGGGCGGCTGGGGCAAGTGGGTGCGACTCAACGTCGGCGGCACGGTGTTCCTGACCACCCGGCAGACGCTGTGCCGCGAGCAGAAGTCCTTCCTCAGCCGCCTGTGCCAGGGCGAAGAGCTGCAGTCGGACCGGGTAGGCGGCGCGGGGCGCCGGCTCGGGCCGCCCCGGGCCCGGCTCGGTTCGCTTCCGCGGAACCCGAGGCGGGAGGAGGGGAGGGGGCGGGCGCGGAGCCGCGCGGGGAGGGGCGCGCCCGTTGCCGTGGTAACGGGCGACGCCGCGGGGCCATTTGGGGCTTTGGGGCGCTGTCTCGGCTCGGGACCGTGCCCTTTCTTTGCCCCCGGGGGGTGTGGGCGGCCGAGGGGTGGCGGAGGCTGGGCTTCTGGGCGAGCAGGGTTCCGGGCGCCCATTCCTGTCTTCCTGACCTTGGGAGGGGGACCCTCCCTGCCCTGGGCTCTGCCTCCCTCTCCCTTGGCTGGACGTGACCTCGGCGTCTCCTGCCCTGCCCGCTTCCCGCGACCTTGGACCCGCCCCTCCCCTCCGGACGTCGGGGTCCCCTCCGCGGGGCCTGGGTCCTCTCTCTGGGGTTGTGTGGCTGCGCGCTGCCTCCCTGCTGGGCGGCCGGCAGCCAATAAGACAGCGTCTCCTTGGGAAACTTGTAAACAAACCCCTGGAGGAGGAGGGCCCACTGGCTTCCGGGGGTTCAGCTGCTCCGACCTCCTCTGGCGGGATGCTCACGGTGGCCGGAAATGCAGGGGCCAGGGATGTGCTCAGAGAGGCCAGAGCGCTGGCTCAAGGTCACACAGAAGGAAGAGGCAGAGGCGGGGCTTGAACCCAGGTGCGCCGGCCTCCCTGCTGCTGCCCCCTCCTGCCCTGCGGCCCTCGCCCGGGGCCTGCAGTGGGGTTGGATGCATTTTGCGGGGCGCAACCGCATGCTTGTCCCTCACTGCCTGTGCACTGTCCCCGCAGGACGAGACTGGCGCCTACCTCATTGACCGCGACCCCACCTACTTCGGTCCCATCCTCAACTTCCTCCGGCATGGAAAGCTGGTGTTGGACAAGGACATGGCCGAGGAGGGTGAGTGGGCCGGGCCGGGCCGGGCCAGGCCTGGGGCCCGCGTCGCAGGTCTGCCGGCCGCAGAGGCCCAGAGCCGCTGCCCCCAGGCGGGGAGAGCCACTCTTCCTGCTGCGGCTTCTGCCTCTTTCCCGCTGGCCGCGGCCGACTCCCAGGGGCTCTGCCCAGCGCGCGGGCCTGAGCTTTGTCCGGCACTGCGGGGATGCAGGCAGAGGATGGAGGGAGCCCTGGAGGCCCCGAGCCTGTGTGGCTGGGAAGCGCAGAGGCTGGGGTGCATGGAGCGGGGTGGGGGCCGGCGCAGGAAGAGCCGGCCCCTCTTGGTCCGGGTGGTCCAGCGGTTCAGACTCTGCCTGGGGAGGGCTGGCAGCGAGCAAGTGGGTGCAGCCCGTGGCGCTCCCCAGCGCTGGCAGCCCGTGTGGCGCGGCGGCAGTGCAGGTGGGTGGGGGCTGGGCTCGGGGAATGCGCTCCTTGGCGGGGCTGTGGCTGCCCAGGCCTGCGTGACAGACAGAAGGGACGCCGTGTCTCAAGAGTGGCAGCTCAGCAGAGCCCCAGGCGAGGGCAGAGACCCCTGCGGGGCCCCGGGGAGATGCTCGGGTCTGGCCGTCTCTCTGTAACCGCGGTAATGTCAGGTGGGGGCCGGGTCTGCGAGCGGAGAGCCAGGTTTGGAGCTGCAGGTGTCAGTGGCCGGGGGCTTCCGCAGCAGAGCATCCTGTAGGTCCTCCAGGCCCCCCCTTCCTCCTCCTCCCCCAGCCCCCAGAGCACCGGAGCACGGATGCCATGGGTGTGGCCTGGGCCCAGGAGCAGCTGCCCCGGGGCGGGGCCGTAAGCCCTGCAGCTTCGTCCCAGCCAACAGCTGTTCTCAGGTTCCAGTTTCTCAGAGTCCCGCAGCCCCCAGCACCTGCAGACAGGGCTGGGGCCTCCATCCTGGGGCTGGGGGACCCTGAGGAGACCCGCGTGCCAGCCTGTGACGTTGGGAAAACCACAGCCCCTCTGTGCTGCACGCGCCCTTCTGTGGGTGGCGTGGGCACACCTCACCGAGCTGCCGTGAAGGGAGGAGGCACTGCTGCCCGGGCGGCGCTGGGGTCAGTGCCCGGCCTCGGTGCTGCCGCATGGTTAGGCACCTGTCACCTGCCCGGCCCCGCCCAGGGCTCCTGGGAGAATCCCGTCACCCAGGCAGTGAGACCCGCGGGCCGCCCACTCTGAGCCAGGTCCGTCGTGGGCACTGGGGAGAGCAGGGGAGGCCAGAGGCAGCCCTGCCGTAGCTCCTGCTTTTCTAACAGAGAGCCACCGACTGGGGCATGTGTCCAGGCCGGGGGCCGAGGTCCCACTTCCGTGCCTCACCCGGCACACAGAGCGTGCCTGCTCCCCAGCCTCCTCTCACGCGGGCACCAGTCCCTCGTGGGACCTCAGCACCTCCCTCCTGACGCTGTCACCTTGGGCGGGACTCAAGCAGTCGCTCCCCAGGGAGCCCTGGAGGCCAGTCAGGGACGGGGGTGGGTGCCCTGCTAAGTCACTCAGAGCAGCTTAACTGGAAAGTGGGGGCAGTGACGCCGGCTTTCCTTATTTCCCTGGGACTTGGGATAGCACCAGGGTGCAGACTGTAGAGTGCGGTGCCCGGGGGATGCACGCGCGTGCACACACAGCTTCCACGTCTAGTGGGACAGCCGGGCTCTGCAGCCGAATGGCTGTGTGGCCTGGAGCAGGCTGCAGCAGCTTCTAAGCTTCGGTCTCCCCAGCTGTGAACGACGAGGCCGTGGAGAGAGAGACGCCCCTGGCCCAGCGCCTGGCACTTAGCACGCACGGGGGCACTACACGAGGGCGCTCCAGGGTCAGCCCCTGCACACCTGCCCTCTCTCTCGAAGGCCCTGGTGCAGCCCCGGGCTCCCTGACGCCTGTGCCCTGCAGTGTGGGGCCATGGCGGCATCTCAGCCCCTCCTTTGGGGACGGAAACGCTGCCTCCCGCGCTCGCACCCACCCTCTGGGGGCCGCGGTGGTGACGGGGGCTGCCTTGTCTGTGCCAGGGGTCCTGGAGGAGGCCGAGTTCTACAACATCGGCCCGCTGGTCCGCATCATCAAAGACCGCATGGAGGAGAAGGACTACGCGGTGACGCAGGTCGGGGCGGGGGCTCGGCCGCAGGGGAGCCTGGGAGGGGCGGGACCCTGTCTTCCGGGGTCGGGGGAGCTCCCGGCACCTTGCACACAGCCTGGCCTCCGCGTGCCCTCCGCCCGTCCCACCCGGTCTGGACCTTGATCTCGGCTTCTGGGACCTGGCCGTGTTGAGGCCCCCTCCCGTCCCTTCCTCACAGGCACAGCGGGGCCCAGTGGGGACAGGGCGGGGCTAGGCAATGGTTTTGCAGGATCGGGCGCCCCCCCCCCCCGGGCACCAGTGCAAGCCGCTGCGCCTGGCCAAGCTCAGGCCCTGGGCCTCGGTGGCCCGGTCTGCAGGGGGCGGTGGAGACGTCCTCTGCCCACCTGGGGGTGACAGGCTGGGGCGTGGGTAGTGAGGTCCCACCTCGCGGTCCCTGAGACTGGCTCCGGAGGGCCCGCCTCCACGAGTGACCGCCTGGGCCACCTGTGCTCCAGTTCTGGCTCTGCTGGGCGACCTTGGGCAAGCAGCTGGGCCTCTCTGAGCCTCAACGAGAAAGGCACAGAGGGCCCTTGGGGGGCGGCGTGAGACCAGGCGTGCTGCGTGGCTGCAGGCATGCTCAGAGCGTAGCTCCTCCCCTCCCCCCTTTTCCTCGCTGCTTCCTGGGGTGTGTGGCTGGGGCGAGGGCTGTGTGCGGGCTCCCGTCCCCCTCCCGGGGTGCCCTCCATGTGAGCGTCCCACCCCCAGGTCCCGCCCAAGCACGTGTACCGCGTGCTGCAGTGCCAGGAGGAGGAGCTCACGCAGATGGTGTCCACCATGTCCGACGGCTGGCGCTTCGAGCAGGTGGGCACGGGCCCCTCCCTGACGTCCCCACCACTGCCTGCACCCCGGCCCTTCCGGGAGGCCGCATGGGGTCAGGAGAGAGGGCGGGGGCTCCGCCCAGCGCACATCCTCAGTGGGAGTCCCCTCCCGGCTCCACAGTCGCAGGAGTGCCCCCAGGGACAGCTCAGGGAGTGGAGCCCCCCTGGCGTCGGCCCTTCCTCTCGCTGTGATCAGGGAAGCCAGGAGCAGCTGCTTCCGGGAGGGGTGTGGTCCCGGGGGTGGTGTGTGCCGTGGCCAGCGTAATGGCGCCTGGCTGGCGGCTCGCCTCGCTCCGCTTCCAGAGCAGGGGAAAGCCAAGGTCAGATTTAGCATGTGGGCAGGAGGGCTCGGGTGCCCCTTGCCCCCCGCCGCACACACGTTCCCCTGGCGCGTGGACGCTGTGGGACGGGGCGGCCAGGGCACCACACGGTGGCTGCAGTGTGGAAGGACCAGCTACAGGCACGGTGCAAAGAGTGGAACCTCTGGGTTTGCTAGGGCCCCACAGAGGGCACGGGATCCTAGAGTTCACTCCCCACATGGCCTCAGTAGCTGGGGCCGGGCCTGGGCCAGGCGCAAGCCAGGAGCCTCGCTCCCCATCCGGGTCTCCCACAGGGGTGGCAGGGAGCCAAGCACGTGGGCCATCCGCTGCCTCCCCAGGCACATCAGCAGGGAGCGGCAGCAGGACAGCAGGTGCTTGACCCGGCGCTCACGCGGGATGCTGGTGCCACAGGCAGCAGCTTAACCCGCTGCACACGGCGCCGGCCCCGGATCCTGGATCCAGCCCCGGCCCACCCCTCCCAGCTGTGGGATCCCTGGCCGGCCCCATTTTGCTGAGTGCGGGTCCCTGTGGACTTTGCCGGCACAAGGACGTGTGAGGGTGGTTACTAGGGACACCCGCGGAGACGGCCACGCCAAGAGCCGCTGGGGGGTTTGGCCGCGGCCCACGGCACTGGACGGGCAGCCTGCGTGTCCTCTGCTGCTCCCAGCGAGGGGCGCCCTCTCCCCGCTCCGCCATGCCAGCCCCACCCATGCCTGGGCCTGGGGACAGCGCTACTGTGAGCCCAGAGGTGCAGGTGGCAAGGGGTGGAGACTCTGCAAGCCCAGGGGCGGTTGACAGAGCCCACATCTGCCTTGCCCTGCCCCCCACCCTCCTTTTCCTCCCCACGCTCCGCCCCCAGCTGGTGAACATTGGCTCCTCCTACAACTACGGCAGCGAGGACCAGGCCGAGTTCCTGTGCGTGGTGTCCAAGGAGCTGCACAGCTCCCCACACGGGCTCAGCTCTGAGTCCAGCCGCAAAACCACGGTGAGCCCCGCCCGCCCCGCCCCACCCGCCCCACCCTCCCCACCCCACCCCGCTTCTCCTCCCTCCCTCCCTCCCTCCCTCTGCCCACGCAGAACCTCATGGTCACAGCCAACGCCATCCATCCCATGCCATCACCGTCCCATCTGCCCAGGCGGTGGCACGGGGCCATCCCAGGGTGCAGGCACACGAGGCAAATGCAGGAAGCTAGGGCCAGGGCCGTGGGACGCTGTCTCTGACCTTGGACGAGTCGCATCCCTGCTGGTCCCTGTGTAGTGAGAGGGTAGCGTGTACCCTCTGTGCAGGGTCTTCAGGCTCAGAGCTGGCGGGACCCCAGAGAGCCCGGCCGTGTGCAGGAGGGCGTGCACCGCACTGCGGGGTCCAGCCCTGGGTTCCCGCCCTGGCACGCCCATCAGCATCAACCCAGGTCACGGGGAGAGCAGCCCGCCGGGGGCAATCCCCGCGCAGTGGCCACTGGGACTGTGGCTTCCTGTCTCCCTGTCCAGCCACGGCCATGGCTACTGTCCCGCGTGGTGCCAGCCGGCACTCTAGGTGCGGCAGGTGTCTGCCCGAGGGTGTCCCTGCCTCATTTCCGCTCTGGATTTGCCCCCCCACCGCCACCACGCAGAGCAGGGCTTTCCCAGGTGCCCCTTGCCACGCACTCACCCACCCCGCTCCTCTTGGCCCCCACGACCAGACCGTCACCTCCGGGCCCCCCCACGCCTCTCAGGGGACCAGAGAAGATGCCTCAGCTCTTGGCTGCAGCCCCCCCCCCAGCCCGCCCCAGCCCGCCCCGAGGTCGGGGCCCCCTCGTTAGCGTCTCCACTCTTTCTTCCCTGGGGCCGCCGCTGGTTCACAGAGCGCGGAGGAGCCGCCGGAGGAGCAGCAGCAGGAGGAGGAGGAGGTGGAGGTGGAGGTGGCGCGGGTGCAGGTGGAGGCAGATGCGCAGGAGAAAGGTGCCTCCCGCCCGCTCCCTGCCCCGCCGGGGGTGGGCGGGCCCAGCAGGGTCAGCGCAGGGGCCGCGCCCCCCTCCCGCATAACCACCCTTCTCTCACTTTCTCTCCGCAGCCCAGGCCTCTCGGGACCCCGCTAACCTTCCCTCCCCCCCACCGCCGCCTCCTCCGCTCCCCGCTGGAGGTGCTGCCTCATCTCCATCCACCTCCTCCTCCTCTTGGATCTCATCTGCACCCTGCCTCTTCCCTGTCTGCCCCTGCCCGGGGCTTCTCTCCGCCTGCTCGCACCTCCATCCCAGGCCCGCCCTGCTCCCAGCCTCCCACGCCCCGGCCCCGCCTCCCACAGCGTCCTGCCTGCCGCCGCCCGCGCCCCTCCTGGCACCTCCTGCCTCCCGGGCTGGGGACAAGGGGCACGGCTGCACCTCCCCCGGGGCTGCCAAGCCTGCCACTGCCGCCGCCGGGCACCCGTGAGGCTGGCCTCCCCCCGCCCCCGGGTCCTCACCCCCGGCTCCTGGCCGCCGCCTCACGTTTCCTCCTTGCAGGTTCCCGTCTGCGCCCTCCCAGACCTGAGGCTGAGCCGGCAGTGAGGGCTGCTCGGCCCCTCGCCCGCCCCCCGAGCTGCCGACCCCGGTTTGTAGCTTGGCGGCCTGGAGGGAGGGGGACGCGAGGAGGGTGCTCATCCCTTGCTCCCTGGAGCCGAGCTGGGCTCGCAGCCCGTTTCTGCTCCCTCCAGAAGGTCCTCAGGCTGGCTTGGCCGTGGGGGTGAGGCCCCAGGAGGAGAGAGGTGGGGGGGTGGGAGCTCTTTCCCACCTGCCCGGAGCTGGCCTGGGGGGGAGGGCAGGAGACTGAAGCCAGACGCCTCGGTCTCCTCCCTGCACACCCAGGAGCACCCCGGGTCCCCCGTTTTTGTCCAGGTGGTGGGGACCCTTGGCTAAGGACGGGGGGCGTGGCAGGAAAGCCCTGGCCGGGTGCCTGCCTGCCCCCTCCTCCGGCATGTCTACCTGCTGTGTGACCTTCGGGAAGTCCATGCCCCTCTCTGGGCTGCAGTCAATTGTAAACTGTGCACAGACAGCGGCTCCCTGTTACTCATTGTGCCGGGGGCCACGGTGACCTGCCCCTCCTGGCGCTGACCCCCGCTCCGAGCCGTGGCCGAGTCTCAGCCCAGGGTGGGGCACGGGGCCCCCAGACGGCGCAGCTGGGGTGTCCTCCCCGCTTCCCTCTTCAGTTCTGACTCCGCCTCTCTGGGCCTCAGCCCCACCCCTCCGGAAGGGAGCCTGTGACTCACTTGCCTCTCTCTCTCTCCCTCTCCCTCTCCCTCTCCCCCTCCACCCTGCCTCTGCCTCTCTCTCTCCTCCTCCACCCTGCCTCCCTCCATTTCAATCTCTGCCCTCTGGTCCTCCCATCACCCCCTCCGCACTGCCCCCCCCATCGCCCCTCCTGGTCTTCTGGCCCCACCTCCCCTCCTCCTGCCCCGCCCCCTCTTATTTTGTAGCTGTTACCAGCCAGAGGCACGCGGATGTGAGGTCCCAGATCACCTGCAGGGACTTGGGGTTCCGATCTGAAATCCTTTATTTTTGTATCGCGGGCTGGGCCTCCGGCCCGAGACCGAAGAAGCGCTCTCCCCGCCGCTGCCTCTGTCTGCGCCTGCGCGGCTGGGACTTGCCCGTGCCTCCGGGGATGGGCTGGGGACCCCCGGGGACCTCCCAGGGACTCCTGGGCAGAGCTGCCTGCCCATGGCCGAAGTGTGGCGCTGTGCAGCGGCGGCCTCCAGGCCCCTTCGTCCCCGCCCCCTGCTGCATGGTGGACGTGGCCCCTCCAGGCCCAGTCACGTCAGCTCCTTGAGCCTCCATCTCCTGCTGCCCCCCCCCGCCCCCCACGCTGGCCGGTGCAGGAGGCGCCCTACTGGCACCTGCCCTGGGAGGGAGCGTGGAGTCAGGTACTGGGGAGTCGGGGCGTGACTTGGCCTCCACCTTGGCTGCCCACTCCCACCCGTCTGCACCGCCCACAGGGCGCCCTGGCCTGGGCTCCACAGGACGATGCTCGGGAGCTGTGACAGGGAGGGTCTGGGCAAGGCGGGGCCACGCACAGGGCCCCTGCACGTGACTCCCCAGGGTGGGCCTCGCTCCTCGGCTGTGTCCACCCACCATGTAATAAAGCCCGAAGAAACAGCCCGGCCTGGCCACTCCCTCTTCTCGGGCTCACTTTTGGGGCAGAGTTCATTAAAGTCAAGGCAGGGTCGACAGACCCCAAGGAGAGGGGCTTTTCCTGCAGCTCCCGGCAGAGCCGAGGGTGCCCCCCCCAGTGCTGCCACCCGCCCTACGCCGCTCAAGTCCCGGGAAATGCAGATGCCCGGGCCTCCTGCCGGGCCTGTGAGTGCCGGGCCGCCGCCTGGCTGGTGCCTTCGCCTCCCTCAGCCTCCTGCCTGGCTCTGCCGTTGCCCCGAGGACTCGCCCCCAGCAGCGCGGCCCTCGCCGTGGGGTCCAGCTTGGCTTGGAGTCCACCGCAGGCTGTGAGCAGCAGAGCGACGCTGGTGGGGGGAGGCCAGGCCCGGTCCATTCCAGCCCGACTTCCGCCTGCCCCAGGGCCGGGTGCCTTCCCTCCCACCCACCCCTGCGCACTCAGCCGCGCCATCACCCGCAGGGCCCAGCCAGCGCCTCTCCAGGCCCTGCTTGGACGGCCCGTCTTGGGGACCCCCCCATGTTCTGGGTGCTCGCTGGGGCTCCCTCCTTCCTCTTCAAGGAAGAGCCCCCCAGGCTCGGCCCCACCCACACCAGCCAGGCCTGGCGCCACCGCCCCTGCCCCGAGGGGCGCCCGGGACCCAGCCCCTTCCAGTGCCCTCTCCTCCCTCCCACTCCCTGTGCAGGGGTGCAGTAGAATGTCGCTTGGCGTGTGCCGCTCCCCTGTTGCGGAGCTTCGGTAGCTCCCCAAGCTTTCTCCTCCTCCCTCTGTTCCGGCTGACACACAGCTGGCTGTTCAGTGTGTCATCTTTGCAAACCAGGCCTCCCCACACGTGTCCCCCGCCCCCGGAACGCCCTTCCCCACGCTGGGCGCAGGGTGGCAAGTCTGTCTTCTCCACTGCCCCCTGCAGCCCCAGCTGGCCTTGGCCTGCGTGACATTTCTCCATAAATGACCAGGAATGCAGAGGGGCGAGTGCTGGCGGGGCGGCAGGCGGCAGGTGGCCGGGAGCCCAAGGTTCAGGTCCAGGCTTTGCGCCCAGCGTCCAGTGCCCTCACGGGACATCCTTGCCCACCTCTGAGCCTCAGTGTCCCCCCCCCTTTCCAGAGGCACCTGTCACATCCCAACTCACTCCCACCTGAGGAGCCCCAAGCTATTGCCCTCTGGAGTTAGGGCCACCCCGTCTGCCCCGCCCCCACCTTGGCCTTCCGGACACGCGAAGGGGCTGAGCAGGATGCCCGCTCTGCTTCCGAGAGCCCCCCCCCCCCCCCATTCAGCAACCATCAGCGGGCTTTGGGTCAGATGTCAGATTCTTTATTCCACAGCAGCTGGGCCGGCCGCCAGGGGGCGCAGGCGTGGGCGGGGCTTCCCACCCTTTGGCTTACAGAGGCAGCTGGGCGGCTCGGCGGGCCCCAGGGCTGAAGGCGGCCTTACGAGACCCTCCCAGGCCTCCGGTGCGACTGGGGGCTCCCCAGGCGGGGGAGGTGTCTTCCCTTGGGGAGGCCGTGCTGCCCGCGCAGCCCCTGCCCCGGAGGGGAGACCTTAGACGCCCCTGCTGGCTACAACGCTCCTCCCCGCAGCGGGCACATGGAGGGAAGCAGAGGGGCTGAATGTGAGCCCCCCGCCCACTTCAGGGGACGTCTTGACCACCAGCCGATGGCCCTCCTGGAGCAGGGTGGAGGATGGGGTGCCACCTCCTGCCTCCGAGGGCCGCTTGTCCCCCTGCCTGGTGGTGCCCTGGGCGCTCCCAGTCCCGGAGATTGGCCCCAGATCTGCAGGGGACAGCACCTCAGGTCAGCACCTGCTGGATCCAACCAATCACACCTGTGATGCGAGTGTAGACGCCGAAATAATTGGGCCGGCCGCAGCCCAGGCCCCAGCTGACCAGTCCCGCCAGGAACCAGCGGCCACTGGGCTCCTTGCACACCAGCGGGCCCCCGGAGTCCCCCTGAGGGAGAGAGGCGAGGGTCAAGGCCCGGCTCCTGGGAAACTGCTGCGTGGTAGCAGCAGAGTCAAACCCCCTTCTGAAGCTGTGCTGCACCCAGAGCCCCCCACCCCCACCAGCCCTGCATGGCGTGGATCCCAGCTCTGGCAGAACCATGGCTGGGTTCCTGCACATCCCCGCCAGCCTCTGCCTCCCTTCCGGTCCTGATGTGCGACCCGGGTGCCTCCTGGAGGCCAAGGAGCAGGGCTGGGGTTGAGCTGAAGACCCGCCTACCCCAGGCCTCCTCTGGCCTGCACCCCTACAGCATCGGGCAGGTGCCCCAGCGTTGGCCACCCAGTGGGGCTGGACGCCCTGCTGGGAAGCCCATGTGAGTGTGACCCCCGGCTCCCCCGGCGCCTGCGCCCCGCAGGGGTCACCTGGCAGGCGTCCTTCTTGCCCTTGGGGTAGCCGGCACACAGCATGCGCGGGGTCACCTGGTAGCGATAGGCCTCGCTGCACAGGTCCTGCGCGACCAGCTGCACGTCCACCTTCTGCAGGGCGTTGCTGGTGGGGCCTGCCGCGGGCAGAGGGCAGAGGTGAGAGGGTGCAAGGTGCCCGGGTCCTCCTGCCGTTCTGTCCTCTTGGGGGCCACACCTGCTCCTCACTGCGCTGGCCCCTCCTCTGCATGGTTGGTGGTGACAGAGCCCCCACTGAAAGCCCCCAGGCTCCCCTGCGGCCATACTCAGGGCTTCCTGTTCCACACCTGTGCCTTCTCTGTGAACGCCTCCCCCTGTCCTTGAGGCTCAGCCTCTGGGCACCTGCCCTGGCTCACCCAGGGAGGAGCCGCCCCTGCCAGCACTGCCCCCTGCAGCTCCCTGTCCCTATCCTCTCTCATCACCCCCAGAATGTCCTCTCGGCCTGACCCCGTGCCTGGCGTCCAGCAGGTGCTTGTAAGTGTGTTGAATGAATGAATGAGAGTGAAACACTCCTTGCTTTGCCACGATTCTCCGTCATCTTGGGCAAGCTGCTTGTCCATCTGTGCCTCAGTTTCTCCATCTTTAAAAGGTCTCTGCCTCCAAACCACAGATCATTGCACACGGTTCTAAAGCCCCACGCCCACCCCGTTCTGGGTGCCCCGCCCAGCCTGGGTTCAGTGCCGGCCTCCAGCCCCTGGGGACCCTGGGAGGCGGCCGTGGTGGCTCAGGGGCTTGGGTTCCTGGACTGAGTTGCCGGCTCCCAGCTCCAGCCTCAGCCCACACAGTCCATTGCCGACATCTGGGGAGCGAACCAACAGATGGGAGGCGTCTCTCTGCCTTTCAAATAATAATAATAGTAATAATATTAGTAATAGCAGGAAGGCTGCAGGGCGGGGCCCATGTGCACAGGCTCCACCAGCATGAGTGGTGAGGGTAGCAGCAGCAGGAACCGGGCTCTGGCGTCGGCAGCCCGGGCCCTGCTCGGCTCCAGCAGAGTTGGCACAAGCGCTCAATGACTGGAACTTCAGTTTCTTCCCTAAAATCCAGCCCAGGGAACCCCATGCCCTGGTGGCGCCCTGTGGCCCTGCCCTGCCCTCCTCCTGGCCCCGCCCCGCCCCAGCCGGGGGCTGCTCACCGCCCTCGTGCAGAGCGCCCCAGCCCGTGATCCAGCAGTGCAGGCCCGGCTGGAAGACGTGGGAGCGCGCGGGCAGGCAGACGGGGCGCACGGCGGCCGAGCGCACCACCGGGTGGTCGAGCTGCAGCAGGGCCACGTCGTAGTCGTGGCTGTCCTCCTCGTGGTACGGGTGCAGCAGCAGACGGCTCACCTTGAAGGAGACCTCGCCCGGCCAGCGCGAGTTCTGCCACACCTTGCCCAGGAACACGGTCCACAGAGCAGGGGAGGCCATGCTGGGGGCAGGCGGGGAAGGTGTCCTCGCGCAGGGACCCTGAGGACAGCCACTTCCCCCCTTGGGCCCTGTCTCCCACCCCACCCCTACCCCGACTCTTCCTCCTGTTCCAGTGTTAGGAGCATCCACCCTGGAGGTGCCTGCCTGGGCTCAAACACCAGCTTCCTACCCCACTCGATAGGTGTGTGGCATCCCCTAGGCCTCAGTCTCCCTACCTGTGAAGTGGGAAGAGGGTTGCCTACTCGTATGCAAATCTATTAAGACGGTGCATGTAAATGACCCAGCACAGGGCCAGGTGCCTGGAAAAAGTTTCTTTCTGGTTTTTCCTGCACACTCTACATTCTCTGACCACCCTGAGATGGTGACTCCTCGTGGGGAGGAGCCAGCAGGGCCTGGGCAGTGCAGGCCCCAGGAAGCCAGGTCCGCAGGCTGAGCGCAGAGGGGACCAGGTGGTGAGAACATGCCCAGCAGAGGCACAAAGCCGGCGGGCCTCTGGCTCTGCAGAGCCTGGCTGACGGGGGTGGCAGGCAGGAGGGACGGTGGCGGTGTCGTCACCCCCATCACAACGCCAGGCACGGCGTGGGGAGTGTCATGGCTTATGACCAGATCCGACAGCGTCCCCAGCACCTAGCCCCTGGCGGGTAGATGAAGTAGTGAATGACTGAAGCAGTGAATGACTGACTCACTGACCTGACCTAAAGCCAGTCAGGGAAAGCAGAGCACAGAGGCCGGACACCGTGTGCTCGCTGTCACGAGGCCTGGCGGGGGCAGGGGGAGGCACTTCCGTCCGGCACACGGCCCCCCTCCCGTGGCTCCGCCCCTCACCTCTCCTCCTGGAAGCAGTGGGCGGCGGTGATCACCCAGCGGTCGGCGATGAGGGCGCCCCCGCAGATGTGGCGCCCCCGAACCTGGAGGCTGGCCTGCCACGGCCACTCCCCCTCGGAGGACACGGCTCCACCCACGATGCGGCTCGAGGGGCCCTGGAGGCCACAGTCTGCGGGCGTGGAGGTGGGGCAGCCGGTGAGAAAGAGAGGAGGGCGATGGGGAGACGGGGAGAGAGGCGGGCAGCAGGGGCACGGGGACGGCGACGGGGAGGGGGCTTCCCTCCGGGCCCCCGTGGGCGGGCTCACCGCAGTGCCGCTCGTCCGAGCCGTCCCTGCAGTCCGGCCGCCCGTCACACTGCGGGT